TGGCTATTCAGGCTCTTTCAATAAACATACTCTTTCAGTTTAGAGGGAGAAATAAAGGAAAATACTAATCTGTGGAGGTTCATAAAACATATTCCTTAACAATATGATTTAATGTCTTGACTCAGATGTTTGTAGGAAATATATTCTTAAAGTATATATTTGAATACTTAGTATGGAGATTTACCTGTATATTTATTAATGGTTTCTAAATATATTAATTATATAATGACTAGAGGAAAAAAATCTATTAAAGGGTTTCTTCAGCCTATTTTAATACATAGTGTGGGTAGGTACACCAAGAACTGGGAACAATGAGAAAAAACTGGGGAGAAGAAAGGATCAGAGAATAATAGCTAATTTTCTGTAAGTGAAATCAGACTGCTCTGAGAGGACCTCCTAGATATTCCAGTTCCATCTAGCTTGCAGAGAGTGCATTGGAAATGACTATGAAAACATTAATAACTAATTTGTGTAGCCTCGTTCTGTGGGTTTGGAATTGTGCTCTAGAAGAAGCCTTCATTCCTCCATGCTGGTGGAAGAGTCTAGATTTGAAAACTGGCATGTTACACATGGTCTTCAATACTGACAGCTGAAACAATGAATCCGTGGAATGGCTCCCGAATTGTGCAAGCACTAGTGCCATCTGTTGAATTCAGGTTACACAAGTTTAACATGAAAAATAGGAAAATGGGGCAGTTTTGGGAGGACTGAAGAAGGTTGGTTGGAATTCTGTTGTGTGGATTGTTGTTCCCAGATTTGTTTGGGATTTTCCTGGTGAATAAATATGGAGAATAAATACAAAATACCTTCAGAGAAATACTTTTGAACAGGTCATAATTCATTAGTTGGTAACTACCACAGGGTGCAACTGAGGCCAAGAATAATAGCGGAGAGGAATACCCAGTTATGTGATCTTTTATAGCAGAAGAGTTCATATTCTTTCCAGAAAAAAAACCAAAACACCACACAAACCCACACGCAGAACAGGGCAGACCAATTTGTTCACTTCCTGGAGTGATAACTCTCTCTTGGACTGTTTGCTTCCTTCCATGGTGCATCCGTTACTGGCCACTAAGACTGACCATTAAATTAGGGTGGTGTTCTGGGTAACTCCATCTGACAATTCCTGCTCTACAGTTCTGTGGTGTTTGGGTTTATTTCACACGTGCTTATGGTCGTGCCTTTGTCTACAAGAACCTTGTAACTCAGTCATGTAGGGC